GTTTACTTTGTAGAATTGCAATGAGACATAAGATCGACCGTTTTGATTCTGGAACTTATTATGCTGAGGGTGACACTTCTTCCGATTCCGATACCAATCCTGATACTAATACTGAACCCGAACCTAAATCTCAGCCCAAGAATAACAATCTTTCGAAGGAAGTGCATTATAATCCTTTTGATGCCCAAATCGCGGAAATAGATTCTATGTTAGCAGAAATGCGAAGTTAGACTATTAGTATCGGTGCCAGTGGAATTCCCTTAAATCTCTTCTCAAGATGGGATAGAACTTGCCTTAAAAGTTCATCTGATGGGGGTGCTTGTCCCAGAATTTCTTCGCAAATATTTTTTCTAGCAAAGTGATAGGCGTAAAGATTCTTTATGCACACGTGATTTTCATCCATATGTACTGGATAAATGTTTAATTTTTTACAGAGAAATCATGCTAAGCAGGTTGGTTCTTTTGATTTTCGCTCGATTAAACGTAATTATCAGGAATCAAAGATTCAGCACTATGTGCCATATCCATACCAGATCATTCTACGCTTTCACAGTTACTATTTGGATTGATTTCTGACAAGCCTCCCAACATTTGAGACGATAAGTTTCTGTATTGGCATAATCACCACTACCCCATTGTCCATTTATATTATTCCTTATATTATCTTTTTCATGGTCTTTATTGCATATAGGACAGTGTACTGAACTATTAAAATTATAAATATCGCTATATTCATTACTATGATCCAATGATAAATAAGGACACCACTCCAACGCCATTTCAATAACGCATTTTCGTTTTTCTTCTGGATCATCAGGCAAAGTAGAAATTGGAGGACGGGATTTGTTAGATGTATTTACCTGGATTTCCGATGAAACCTTTTCAGGCAATGCACTTACCTCAGTTTCCGGTAATTTTTCTGAATCGTTTGAGATAAATGGTTCAATCACGTGTGCATTCTTTTTTGGAAAACGATTTATAATATTTTGAATTTGTGCAACTGTTAGTCTAGAAATTGCATCAGCGCTATACGTAATGTGTTTGATTTTATCTATCCCTATCCCTTTAAATAATGTATAAATGTTTTTAGCTTTTTGGGTCATCTTACGCAAATATTCTCTCTTAACACCAGGAAGATATGGTCCCATTTCATCATAAATCTGCGTTTTTGCCATTTGATCATTAATATTGTTTTTTGAACTAATATCTATAACCTTTTTTTCGAATTCCTCACTATAATAATACCAACGTAAAATTTCTTTCTGACCGGTTTGTTTAGCCTTATCAAATAAGTGAGCTAAATATGGTACAGAACCCGGAGTCAGATCATCCCTGTCTGGCATATTTACAGTAATTCGTTTGTCAGATACAGAATTTGAAAGACTTTTCTCGTCAATAAATTCAGATAATTCACACATTAAACCTTGTTCTACTTTTTGATTATATGGAATTTTTATTTCGGAAGAAACAGTACTTTGTGCCTCAGTTGTAGGATTATCAGAAGAAAAGGGTCCTTTTTGTATCGATTCTTGATCTTGAGAAGCGGGATCTTTGTTACTTCGTAATAGTTTCTTTTCCCTGTTTATATCTCTCATTATATTACTAACTTTTTCTTTTTCTTTTCGATCCAGAAAATTATTGATCTCCTTAACTTCTAACGATTTAGACTCTGCGTGGATAGGTAATAGTGTTGGTTTCCAAAACTAGAGAGTTTCGCAACCGTGCAAAAGTCAAAAGGTTTTGCAATAAGTCGAAACTAGTTTTGATTTTTGACTATTGACTTTTGATTTAGTTTTGACATATAACTTTTAATTTTAGTTTTGACTTTTGTCTCTTCAAAATAGTTTTGGCAACCAACACTAATAGGTAATGCAGAACATTGTGTTATCAACTTCTGACATACATCAGAATTAGACGCATTATCTTCCATCTGTTCGGGAGTATTGTCAGAATTTATTTCGGAAGAAACGGTGTTCTGTGTCTGCTCTAAAGACTCGGAATCAATATCATTAGTTGAAAATTGTTTGTTATGCAAACTCCTCTCATTAGAAAGGTTTTCGTTAGGTGATGAATTAGGCGAGATATTTTCAGTTGTGCTGGCTCCGCCAATAGAAGACGCGTCTTGCACATTAGTAATGACTTGAGTTTGCTGTTTGAGCTCCTCAAAATCATGTCTTAATTTCGTTACTTCAGCTTTAAGCTCAACATTCTCAGCTTCGCGTCTGGTACTCTCTCCCATAGCATGTTCCAATTCCACAATTCTAGCTTTAAGCTCATCTTTTTCTTTTGCAGTCTGCTCCAATTCTACAATTCTAGCCATAAGTCTGGCATTCTCTTGTCTTAATAAATCTAATTTGGATTCCATGTTTGATAATATTTTTTTATATAAGGCGTAGATTTATTCAAAATAGAAAAATCACGTGCGCGTGAACAATTGTTCACGCCGATCACTTTGACAAGAAAAAAATTCATGACTCCACAAATATCATTTCTTCTGAAATAAGAGGTATGTATTGTTGTTGTATAAAAACGATCTTTTGGAGAAAGTGCACTCCATGCATTAAGCTTTTTTTTGACATCAATCCAGGAAGAGAGATGGTAAAGATATTCCAGTGGTATTAATGTATTTCATATTCGTAATTTATAATCACCTATTCTTCCTCATTTTCACAATTCGTGGATTATATATAATGGTGCTTTATAGCGGAGCTAGTGCCAGACACGGAGTGTCATTTCATAAGAAATAGGCACATAATAGATAATTCCGATTTGATTTTTTTCTTGCTCAAAGATATAGTGTATAATAATATAACCAAAATGTTGTTTGTAAATTGCGCAGTCGAAGAGGCGGAGCCTCATTGTTCCACAATAGAAAAATCTCCTATTGAAACATTAATTGATCCAGGTGCTAACTCAAGTTTAATTATCCAAAAATTTATTAACAAGTTGGGTTTAGTACATCATGTAAATGAAAGCAATGGCCTCGAATTACAAACTCCTGATGGATCATTTTCTATACTAGGAAAGGTTGAACTGCAAACTAGTTTTAATGTTGAT